TTTCTGAAAATGTTTTTAAGTGCAGGTAAAATTTAAGTTAACAAAAGGGAAACACTTTTTCCTTTTTGGATACAGTAAAGTGTATTAGAACCTCTGTCAGTTTTTTTTATTTGTCTGTGCCCCCATTTCCCTTTAGTAGATTCACCTCTTTTTGGTCCTGTTTCCGTTTCTTTGAAAGTAAAAGAAAATCCCAAATTTTAGGTTGTCCCCAAAACAGTAATAAAAAAAAATTTCCCAAGGGGGGACACTGTTTTTGATGCCCGGGGGGTCCCAAAGGAATTTCTTAATTTACAGGGTTTTCCCTTTCCTTCCTGTTTGGCTATGGGACAAGAATTGAACAAAAAAACACCAAATAGGACACGATGGCAAAACACAGAGGTAAACCCCTCCCTGCTCTATCCAAAAGGAAAAAAAAAAAGTTTTGCTTTACTTTAAGATGACAAATTTTTAACATTCAGCCTCAATAATAGCAGGGTTTTGAATACTTATTTAAAATCTTGAATACATGCACTTTTTCCCTTGTTTTGATTGTATTTGTTTTGTTCATTTAAAACCCTGCAAGCACAAAAAAATATTTAAAAGTCTGAAAAATGCAGTGTGCGTCTCATAATTTCCCCGTTTGTTATACAACATATTCTGTGCTGCATTAAAATCCTAAATTTGGTCCCCCTTTAAAAGGTCTTTTTTTTGGTTAAGGAAAACACCCTTTTCTCAGACTAAAACATAGTGGGGGTGTTCAATAAAAAAAAGCAAAAGGGGTTAGACAGATAACAAGCTTGGAATTTCGATGCAACAGGGTTGCTGTTTGGACAAAAGTTATAAACTCATCGTTTTTGGGCGGGGAATGCAATTACAAATCCTGACCCCCACAGTGTATCTGCAATGCTGTATACTTCCTTGTTAAAAGCACCTTCAGAGAACTCCTGAAGAAGTGTAACCCGCGAAACGCGTTGAGATATAGCACTTGATGTCCCACCATTCTGCAACACTGGAGTTTCAAAAGCTACCTTGCATATATTTAGATATACACTATATTGCCAAAAGTATTGGGATGTCTCCCTTTACATGCACATGACCTTTAATGGCATCCCAATCTTAGTCCTAGGGTTCAATATTGAGTCGGTCCACCCTTTACAGCTATAAACAACTTCAACTCTTCTGGGAAGGCTGTCCACAAGGTTTAGGAATGTGTCTATGAAAATGTTTGACCAGGCACTAATGTCGGACGAGAAGGCCTGGCTCGCAGTCTCTGCTCTAAATTCATCCCAAAGGTGTTCTATCTGGTTGAAATCAGGACTCTGTGCAGGCCAGTCAAGTTCCTCCACCCCAAACTCACTCATCCATGTCTTTATGGACCTTGCTTTGTGCACTGGTGCACAGTCATGTTGGAACAGGAAGAGGCCATCCCCAAACTGTTGGGAGCATGAAAATTGTCCAAAATGTCTTGGTATGCTGACGCCTTAAGATTACCCTTCGCTGGAACTAAGAGGCCAAGCTCAACCTCTGAAAAACAACTCCACTCCGTAATCCCCACAATCCCCCTCCACCAAACTTTACACTTGGCATAATGCAGTCAGGAAAGTACCGTTCTCCTGGCAACCATCAAAACCAGACACATCCATTGGATTGCCAGACAAAGAAGCATGATTTATTTCTCCAGAGAACATGTCTCCACTGCTCTAGAGTCCAGTGGTGCTTTACACCACTGCATCTGATGCTTTGCATTGCACTTGGTGATGTAAGGCTTGGATGCAGCTGCTCGGCCATGGAAACCCATACCATGAAGCTTTCTATGCACTGTTGTTGTGCTAATCTGAAGGCCACACAAACTTTGGAGGCCTTTAGCTATTGACTCCCCCTCTCTCGGTTGCACTTCTGAACGCCCGTTCGGTTTGCAACAAACTAACTGCCATCCATGACCTCTTTATCTCCCGCTCCCTCAACCTCCTAGCCATCACCGAAACCTGGGTACAGGCCACTGACACTACCTCCCCTGCGGCACTCTCCCATGGAGGTCTCATCTGGTCCCATTCACCTAGATTGGGCGGTCACAAAGGTGGTGGTGTCGGCCTGCTCCTATCACCGCTGAGCACCTTCCAGGTCCTCCCTAACCCCCCCTCCCTAACCTTCTCCTCCTTCGAGGCTCACTGCATCCGGCTCTTCTCACCCACCCCCCTAAGGATCGCAGTGATCTACAGCCCCCCCGGATCCATAGCCCGCTTCCTGGATGACTTCGCCGCCTGGCTTCCCTTCTTCCTCTCCTCTGAGCTACCGACCATCATCCTCGGGGACTTCAACATCCCCATCAATGACAACACCCCAGCTACTTCCCAACTCCTCCACCTAACCTCCTCCTTCACACTCACACAATACACTCAATCCTCCACCCACATCAATGGGAACACCCTGGACCTCGTCTTCTCCCACCTCTGTACCCTTAACCACTTCACTAACACCCCCTTCCCTCTCTCCGACCACCACCTCCTCACGTTCTCCACCTCCCCTTCCCCTAACTTCCCCCCCCCAGTGCGCCAAACCATCACCAGCCGCAACCTCCGCAACCTGCACCCGGCCCCCCCTCCACTCGGCTGCCGACCGCTTACACGACAGCATCCTTCCACTGTCATGTCCTGACCTAGCCACTAACACGTACAACGACTCACTATCAGCTACCCTAGACTCTCTGGCACCCCTAACCACACGCAACATCAAACCCAGACCGCTCCAACCATGGCAGAACGACCACACTAAATGCCTCAAACGTCGCAGCCGTGCGCTGGAGAGACTATGGCGCAAAACCAGGTCCCCTCATGCATTCTCCCTCTACAAATCTGCCTTCCTCACCTACACCTCCTCCCTCCACGCCGCCAAGCAGGCCTACTTTGTTAACCTGATTAACACCCTCTCCACCTGCCCTCGCCAACTCTTCTCCACCTTCAACTCCCTGCTCTCTCCCCCCCCCTCCTCCACTTAGTACCTCACTCACCGCCCACGAAATTGCCACTCATCTCCACAACAAGATTGACGCAATCCGCAAGGACATAGTCAACTTGCAATCTACCTCCCCATCTTGCCTCCCCCCTTCCATCACCCCCTCATCTCTCCCCTCCTCTGACCTCGCAACGGCACTGCCCCCCACCACACCCAAGGCCCTGCCTACCGTAACCCCCCATCACTGCACTCCTTCAGCCCTACTACCACTAAGGAAGTCAGCAGAGTCTTCTCAGAAGCCCGCCTCACTACCTGCCCCCTGGACCCTATCCCCTCTCAACTCCTCCGGTCACCCCCCTCTTCCCTCATCCGCTCCCTTACCCACATCTTTAATCTCTCCCTCTCTACTGGCGTCTTCCCCTCCCCCCCCTAAAACATGCGCACATCACCCCCATACTCAAAAAGCCCTCCCTGGACCCCACTGACCTCAACAACCTCAGACCAATTTCCCTGCTGCCACTCACTTCCAAGCTCCTTGAGCGCTTGGTCTTCGATCGCCTAAGCGCCCACCTGACTGACAGCAACCTCCTTGACCCACTACAGTCCGGCTTCCGTCCCCTACACTCCACCGAAACTGCCCTCCTCAAAATCACCAACGATCTACTAACCGCCAAAGCCAAAGGCGACTACTCTGTCCTCCCTCCTCCTAGACCTCTCCGCGGCCTTTGACACAGTCGACCACCCCCTCCTCCTTAATAAACTACTCTCCCTTGGCATCAGAGACACCGCTCTCTCCTGGTTCTCGTCCTATCTATCCCAACGCTCCTTCAGCGTTTCCTACAACGGTGCCACCGGGGGGGGGGGGGGGGGGGGGTCCTCCTCACTCCCCCTCTCTGTTGGGGTCCCCCAGGGCTCTGTCCTTGGACCCCTTCTCTTCTCCATCTACACCTCCTCCCTTGGCAAACTCATACACTCCCACGGCTTCAATTACCACCTCTATGCCGATGATACTCAAATCTACCTATCCACCCCTCACCTCACCCCCACATTCTCCGCCCGCATCACTCACCTCCTAAACGACATCTCTGACTGGATGTCGCTCCATTTCCTCAAACTCAACCTCTCCAAAACCGAGCTTCTCATCTTCCCCCCAGCCCGCGCCCCCCCCCCCATCCTTTCCATCACTACCAACAACACCACCATCAATCCCGCCCAGCAAGCCAAAGTCCTTGGCGTCATTCTGGACTCAAACCTTTCCTTTCAACCTCATATCAAATCTCTCACAAACACATGCAGACTCCACCTCCGCAATATCGCCAAGATACGCTCCTTCCTTACCCCAGACACCACTAAACTACTAGTACGCTCCCTGATTATCTCACGCCTGGACTACTGCAACTCCCTCCTCACCGGCCTACCCCAGTGCAGGCTCTCCCCCGCTTCAGACCATCCTGAACTCAGCGGCCAGACTCATCCACCTCACCAGCCGCTCCACCTCTGCCACCCCCCTCTGCCTCTCCCTCCACTGGCTCCCCATTGCCCAACGCATTAAATTTAAATTGCTCACCCTGACCTATAAGGCCATTCACAACACTGCCCCTAACTACCTCACCGACCTGATTCCCAGGTACCACCCTACCCGTACCCTTCGCTCTTCACAGGACCTCCTTCTATCTTGCTCCCTGGTCTCCTCCTCCCACGCACGACTGCAAGACTTCTCCAGGTCCTCCCCCATCCTCTGGAACTCACTACCCCAATCCATCAGACTGTCACCTTCCCTCCTCACCTTCAGGCGCTCCCTGAAAACCCACCTCTTCAGGGAAGCCTACCCCACCCTCACCTAACAGCCGCTGCCCTTCTTCCCTCCTCCTACCACTCCATCCCCCACAGCCGTTTCTCTCCTGTGCCTCTACCCCCTCCCTCCTAGATTGTACGCTCGAAAGAGTAGGGCCCTCTAACCCTCATGTGCTGTTTGATGATACTGTTCTGTTTCATGTATTGTCCCCCCTCTATTGTACAGCGCTGAGCAAACCCTTTGGCGCTATATAAACTCGATAAATAAATAAATAAATAAATTGACTCTGCAGACAGTTGGTGACTTTTGCGCTGACCCCGCTCTGTCATTTTACATGGCCTACCATTTTGTGGCTGAGTTGCTGTTGTTCCCAGTTGCTTCCACTTTGTTAAATAATACCACTAACAGTCGACCTTGGAATATTTAATAGCATGTAAATTGCACAGATGGACTTATTGCACAGGTGGCTACCTATCACGGTACCATGTTTGAATTCACTGAGCTCCTGAGAGCGACCCATTATTGCACAAATGTTTTTAGAAGTAGTCTGCATTCCTAGGAGCTTGATTTTATACACCTGTGGCAGTGGAGGTGATTGGAACACCTGAATCCAATGATTTGGAGAGGTGTCCCAAATACTTTTGGCAATATAGTGTATATGTATTAGTGTGGTGGGTGGAATCTGTAAAGTGTTTTGCAGTTGCAATCTAGTTTGTTTTTTTGCATATGGGTTTTGACACATATCATTTGAAGTTGTAACTTTTTTAACATATTAAATGTCATAAAATATATCCAATTGTAGGATTATAGTGTGTCCAACTTTTCTTTATGCTCACTTTGGCTTGAGATATATTTAATTTTTGTTCTTTCCTTTGGATCCTTAAAGCTGAAATATGGGCTCAAAAATGTTTTAATAAAATATATTCCATACAAGCCACAAAGGATATACAGTAAATCCATTTTTGAGCAACAAATGCCTTTGCAAATTCAGGTATTACCTTATAAAAGTAGTGGTGACATCATCACTGTTTTGTACATAATCTGCGCAGAAGGCAGAGCTGTGGGAGGAACCCTGCAGGCACATCTACCAAGGGCTTTCTGCAGAAAACTACTGGAAGGGGCGGACACAAGACCAGTCACCTTGCACAAGGATAGAGAGCAGCAGTAATCGGTCTTTATCAGAGGATGCTCCAGGCAACGTTTCACAATTGATTACTGCAAACATCTGGGTTAAATAAACAAAGCTCACCAAGATTCAAGTAAGAATACACAAAACTCTTGCATTTAGACAATAATTGTTTATCTTGAAGTTCAGCTTTAATTACCATTACATACAGTATTTTAGCTCTTACATGATCTGTTGCCTGAAATAACTGCCTTTTGTTTTTCCCCATTACAGGTGAAACCTTCATGATTAGGATAAATAGACTATGATTTTATAAGCCTTGGCCAGTTACAGACATAGGTGTTTCAGAAGAAAGAACCGTACTTGCTTACCCTTAAAAAAAGAAAAAGTCAAAGTGTCTGCAAGTCTTTTAACTGAAACAATATCTATCCATCACCATGGCAATCCTGTACCGTGAAAACCCTATTAACATCCCTCACTCTCTGAACAAAGACTGCAGGTCCAATACACCAAACAAAGCAGAGCCACAATGATGAAGTAGAGAAATTAACAAGAATCTATCAGCTCTACTGCAACAAACAGCACAATTAAAAAGAGTGGAAATGATATCAGCTGCAGACTTTTTTATTTAGTTGGAGGGAAAGTAATCCCAACAAAGAATGCTTCCAAATTCAATAGGATTAATTTAGCATTTAAATGAGAAAGGTGGTGTATGCCTCAAAGAGGGGAAAGTAATGACATTGCTTTCTTCTTCAGCACCTGGCTCTTTTGAAAATTAATTGAATTTAAAGATCCATCCCCTACAATGTTTCTGGTCCCATTGTTAACCTTAGGAACTGTTTAAAAGTAAATGAGTTAAAGGCTGTGGGTGAAGGTACATGAGCTCATTATGAGTATGATGTATGAAACATTTAGCTCATGTACACTGTTGTAAAATGTTTATAGCACTTTGCCAAGCTATACTGTTGCATATTTGATCTCAATATAAATAATTTTGTAGCCTTAACCTTGTTTAAATAACTTGTATTATTAAAAAAATAGTTTGGAATGGTGAATAATAAGTCTTATCTGCCCTGCATTACGTCTGGTGTGATTGCATACAATATAATAGCACAACAGTCTGTGGTTCAGGTTCTGGAAAACTTTGGCCCAGGAGCATTTTCAGTATAAAGTAAATCTTTTTTTTTTTTTTGGAAGAGTAATTCTTAAAATCTACAGCATACAATGAGTACACTTAAGCTGGCCATACATGAATTCATCAAAATTAACCAAATTCACCATGTACCGGACGAATTTCAATCCATGTATGGTTGTATACAATTCAATCTATGGATCTACTTGTGTACAACCAGACTGTTGAGTTTTTCCTAAGCAATCAGTGCCACTGGCTACAGCCATCAACTTGATCATTGTATTAAGGTTGCGGTGATGGCTCCCTGCTGGCAGAATACAATAGCTCAGCGGGAGTGATTCCACCATCTACATCAATGTGTGGATGGCAAAATCGGTTCATTTTTTATTTCATTCAACCAGAAGGTTGAAGAAAAACAATCATGTATGGCCTGCCTTACAAAAAATATTGGTCAAAAAAGTAAACTTTTTCTAAGTACAAAGTAGAATATTAATACAGTTTGTCTATTTATAGAAGTTTTTATACAACTTTCGCAAAGGATTATTACTTTTCCAACTGAATCCAACTATTTTTTGTAATACCTTAAGGTAAGGGAAACAATTAAATTTGATGATAGTTACCAAGAACTTAACATGACTTTTACAGCAGTTGTATCACTTACATATGTTATGAGGATACTCTGCTCTAATAAATTAGCTTACTCCTTATCAATAAAATCTACCTTGCACTTTCCAGATTCATAATCATCAGTAATCTATCAACTCAAATGGTAACTGTACACATGATTCTGAAATATAATATAGTGTGGTCTAACGCACTTTTAAAAAAAAATTCTTTATTTATAATTTTTCAGTCATACTCCATTACATAACTTGGTACACAGCCGAAGTACAAACAATATATAGATTGGTTAAACACCCATAACATATTGTGTTGGTGATACCTCGTGAATCAGTGTTTACCAATGCACATTATTATAACATGTGTAAACCAATCTAGATTGCCACTTTACCAACCTAAGTAATCTGATCATAATAACTACATCTATTGGTAGCATGACCAAGTTAAGAAAGTCCAGAGACAAAAACAGAACAGCAGAGCAATCGCAGCACAAGATGGGATATATGCAGAGAGATAGTGGAAGGGGGAAAAAAAGTAATATTAGGGAGGTAGGTGGGTAGAAGGGGCATGAAGGGACATGGAAAGCAAAGTTTCCTAGATTTAGTATATAGCATCGACCAAAGCAACTGATTCAAGTGTCTAAATGGAGACTGCCAGCAGAGCTTGATAATCAGCCATCTACAATAATGCACTTTTATGTTTAAAATAGAAACTGTAAGAGACAGGCGTACAGTTGGTTTTCAAGTGTCTGGAAAAAGTATTTTCTTGACTATTTATATGTTTGCAAACATCTGGCATATTAAAATGTTTAGCATTTTCCTTTTCACCTTCACTTCAACTTTACTGAAGTATACATTTTATATTTAATTAGATTCACATCTTGCCTTCCATCCTACATGCTTTTAATTCTCCAGCCTGAATCCACTTAACCTTTTGAGCAGATCCATTTTGTAAAGCAGATTACCAAGTACTCCAATCAGCACAAATATGTATAATGATGGCTTTTTACAGTCATAAAAATCATTTAGTAACACGGCATTCTGATTCTAGTTCTAGTCTGATCGATAAGTAATAGAATCAATCTTTGGATGTTTAAACATTTTATGTTTCATTTTCCATAATGTAACCCATATCAAATTATACCTTTGGACTGCAAGTAAGTTTAAAGATCTTTGACTTAATGGGTATACAGTAGGTTGGTTTGAATTTTTCATCAATTCATATGAATTTCAATTTACAATTAATGAATGGCACCAATCAAAAATGTTCACCAGAACTAGCAGCTTGTTGGTGTGGATATAGTTTCGTAATTGCTGGTACATTTTAACTTTCCAATATTCCACATTCTTTTATTCTACAAATAATGTTTTGCAGCAGTTAGTAGCTGTTCAATAGAACTAGCATTTTGTCAGATCTCAATCATCTACAGGGCCACTGATTGTGAAAGACTTGAACTTATGTTTAGTCTTTGCAGCTGTCCCATTTTTAACAGAATGAGGTTTATAACCTCATGTCCAACCATTAACCTGGAGGACTGAAGTAACCCTAATTTTTGGGACATAGCCATGCTAGCCAGGGACCTTCTCAACATCGGTTGGCCTACAAATAAAAATAATCATGAGAGCAAGAGCAATAGAGAGAAAAAGAGAGAGGGATTTGTTTCAAGCCAATTGTGATGGGGTGGTTGCATGCTGTTTTTTTCAGCTGCATAAAGAGAAAGGCATTATGGTAATGTGAGATGGTGGAAAGCTCTTTCTCTGCTGGAATTAGTACACAGTACTTAACCTCAATATATCCTTCCTAGCATAGGAGCAAACCAGATAAATAGATACGTTTGAGCTTGTTTCTACAATTACAATGTTGACGTTGCAAGCATGGCCTACTTTCTTAGAGAAACAATAAAGAAAAGGCATGATTTCTGGTGTGTTATAACTTAAAGTAAATTTCAAAGATAATCTTTGATGTCTATGTTTTTTTACTGAAGTATATCAATGACATCTCATTTATGAGTTGAAATATTTTTTATATTACTATTTACAGCCAAATATAATTTTGAAAACAGAATAGTTGTCATAGTAAATAATAAACTGCAAAAGTAGAGTTCAATGATAATGCTGTAAAGCATTTGGCTAGTTTGTTAACCACGATTGTTTGTTTCTATAATGACAATCACAGACCTTTGATCCACATTATGTTTTAACCCGTGAAAGCTGAACTCCAGGCACACAGCTAAAAAAACTGTTGAAATGCATATAATGTATGTGATTGGTCTTGTCTGCCAAAGGATCTGCCAGTCTGTGATTTACTCACCGCTGTCAGACGGTACAATCAGGAAGGTAACATTTCTATCAGAGTTAAGGAATACAGTGGTGTCACCTCCTTGGCCACAGTCTGCTGATTGGACTAAGGAGCAGCAACACAATGATAAGTCATTAGCTCCACTCATGCTGCTCCTTCATACTGTAAGCATGTTCCCTGCATGAAATAGAGCCTGATTAGCTGTTAATGCCACTTCTCCCACTGCTGTGATAAGGTTGATATGATGACAGATTCATATAATAATCTATTTTAAAAACATGCATTGAATAGTTTTATATATTTGCATGGAGTTCAGCCTTAAGGTGGACTTAAAAGACAATTACTGGATTGGAGCCTTGAGTGACCATACACAGAG